TTCCCTCCATTGCAAACAAAGGTTTAAAACCTTTCAATATGCTAAATTAAAATCTTTCTGTATATAGTTCGCGTACTTAGTTTATTGCAAAATAAACGACTCTACATTTTTGGTAGCTTTCAACAACCGGTCTTTAGTTCAAGTTGTTTTCGATCTGAAAATGTAAGTATCAACTTAACTGGCTACAAAGTTATTTTTGTGTAGTCTATTTTTAACACATTTGTTTGTGTAATAGTTTCTGGTGATAGGTATTAATTACTAAAACCTTATAAATCTCTAAAACATACAATGATGACAATATTAGTCGTAAGAATTCTTATGTGCATATAATTAACTTTTTAGTTAAATATTCAAATTCATTCGTTTTCATAATGAATATCTACCTACTTACAACCCTCTTACTCTTATATTCTTAGCAATCTACCTTCAAAAACTTATAGGATAACTTATACTACCTACGAAAATTAAATTTTCATGTAGAAAAATAACACATTTTAAAATTCTGCTTCATTGCACGTTACTGCATAATTTCGGCGTGCAACAGATGGTCCGGCTCGAAAAACAAAAATATTACCTGTTATTGTCAACAACCGACATTACTTACTTTTCGACAGATGGTGTTGAATTTATCACTCGTTCACTAAAATTGCACCACATTACAGCTCACTGATACAACACACTGCGTTCTGCACATCATTTTTGAAAACACGAAATTATTCACAGAAACTATTTTTTAGGAACTTTCAGTTCGGCAGGCTTAACCGTCGGTTAATTTAGCAATTTTTAATTCTAACTTAGAGTTATTAAAAAAAGGTTAGCAGTTTTAATCACTGGTTAATAGTCTGTTTGGTAGTTAAGAAAAAAGTATGTCGTTTAGATGCGGGCGAGTCGGCTGCGCGGTTGTTACGTAAGACGCGCGCGCCCACTACGTTCGTGGTTGAAACTGAGAGTGTTTTCCCGGCCGACGGTAACCCCCCCTTAGTTAGGTAATGGTAGTATTTCCATCAATCCCTATCATAACTGCTTTGAACATCCGCCGTCTTTGTTGTAGGCGAGGGGATAATGTCCCTGCTTGTGCTGTCTTCAGATATAAATGTGAGTGTAATTGCCATAATATTATATTTTTTTTGTATGGTAAGAACTTTTAAGGAAAAAGGATTAAGTTAAATGTATAACCGGTACTTCGGAGCTATTTAAGTAGCACTTTTCATTAGAAAATGAGCACGATCAAGCTAAAATCTCAGAAACAGGACATACCTAAATCGTAAGGATAATTTTAAGCAAGGGCATAAATATTATTTTTGTGTACAAAGTGCAAAGATTTAATAGAAATAAACTAATAAGTCACTTGTTATAAGATGGCATTGAGGTCAACAAAAACATAATTTTTCTGTGCAAATAAAGATTTAAAATAAATAAATTAATAAGTGACTTCTCATTAGATGACATTGAGGTCAACACAACAACATGCAGTACCAAACTAAAAAAAAATCAATTTAAGTATGTTGTTGCCATATTTGATAGACAAATAGCGTCACTAACACCTACTTAAGTTTTGCTCCATTTAATAAATGTTAGTAACGTTACCTACGATATGAAGCCCGCATCAGTTAAAATAAAAGAGGTCACGGCCTCTACCTTGTAATGCATTATAAAGATAAACCGTTTTGTTTTTAAATAAGTTGAATAAATTTTAACCAGCCAGGTACAAGAAATTGAAGGCTTGGCAATAAGGACATGACATCAGTTTTTTACTGTCATGGGTACCATCCAATAAGAACACTAAGATGTTTGTAAAATAAATTCCTAAAACTTATAGAAGGATAAATAATATTTAAAAACAAAAAGCTTTTACGCAAAAAATATGAGTAAACATTGCGTAGTGTTTCATAATAAGAAAAAACAAAACGGAAAAATCAACATTATCTCTTTTAAAGCAAACGAAATACATCATCAAGATATAAGAAATTAAAAAAAAAATGATTGGATATAGGCTTGTCTCTAGGCCTATATCCAATCATTTTTGTTGACACAGCGCCTCAGATTCAGATGCGGTTCCGTAAACACGCATCTTCAACACCAACAACAATGCAGTTCTCATATCCTTAAAACTATGGTCATAAGACTGAAATTGATTGAAGAAGATACACAATAAGTTGGTTGTTCCGAGGGAAGTGCAACCCATTGTTACAACAATCTCAGGCAGAGCCAATTTGCTTTATTGCGATCCCATACATTAAATTACACTGTTTGTACACAACTCTGAGAAGCCACCGCTACGTTACGTTATTTGTAATAAAACGACATAACGCATTGGTTTTATGGTCATTGTTACCTTAATCTTATGAAACAAATTAAAGAAAGAGGATTTTTTCTCAATAAATTTGAGTCCGTGTTAAAACAAAATAATTTTATACGGGACCCTTCAGTATTCGTAGTTTATTCAAATAATTATTTAATTCGCTACATTGTTTAGGGCAGTGTTTTTCAACCTTATTCATGACACGACCGTATGGAAAAAATTTTGGCGACCCCCCGACCCACGGTGGTCTGAAAATGAAGGTCCCATACCATAGAAACTTAATGTCAGAAATTAATAAATAAAAATATGTATTGTGTTTAGTATACCTCCCTTTGTTTTACTAATATAGTACGAAGGGTATGAGTAGCTTCATGTGTGAGAAAAAAAATATTTAATTATTTTTTGTATGGAAAAAAACACTTAAAGTCGATTTTTTTTAAACTGAATAGAACTGAAGGGCTTGTACTCCCATGAGCTATTGCACCATACACGGCGATCAAGATGACATACAATTCTTGTGCCTTTGGGTGCCGCTTTGCATGTACCAAGCTTTGGAAATTTAGAATTTTCGGTAGGTGATCTTTCAAGTCTTTGATGTTATTTTATGAAGTTATTAACCGCTTTCAATACGAGAATAGTATGTAAATTAATACTCATATAACTAGGAATATACTAGGGATATTTTTAAATATTTTTTATTTTGAAAATATAAAAAAATAAAACGTTTAATCATTGAATGAAGTTACCAACCAGTTGGTAACTGACATTGTTATTAGTTACTAACCTGCTAATGACGTTTTAATGAAAATAATAGAAATCAATATTGATTAAATAAACAACTTAAAAAATCGAACTGCCTAATAGGCCAGAAGAATTACATTTAAAATCGGAAATAATTCATACAAAAGATATTATTGTTTTAATGGCTTCATTCGTAACCCATTTAACTATCCTAAATTTTCGACGTCGACGGAGTTGTGCTTAAGTGGTAGGGGCCCCCGAAAGGGGCATTTTTCGGACGCGTAAAGGACTTACCCTATCGAAAACTGGTCTTCATGACGGTTGAAGAGCATTTAATCCTGAATTTAATAAGACCAAATTTATATGTTTTGGACAAACTGTCCTCGTTCTTATCTTCGAAAAAGTACAAAATGTACATAATATGTATAATTAATGATCCTCTCCACGTCCAAAGGCTCGATACCCGCAGGATTCCAAGTTTTGAAAATGACCGCCTCAACCAGTGTAACCCTGTCAAGGCTTACGAGCTGGATGCGCCTATATCTTGTTCGTCCCAGCCATTCGATACGTTGCCTAATCGATGCCTGGTATGGAAACACAGAGTCGTTCAGGAGAGTGCAAGAAAGAGGTGCAGTAACCGCAGTTAGGGACGACTGGGACGAACAAGGATAGGTGCATCCAGCTCTTAAGCATTGACTCAACCAGCTTAACCCTGTTAAGCTGGTTGAGTTGGCCTTTTACAAGGCTTGGGAGCCTGCGAGTGACGAGCCATTGTACGTAGAGAAGGTCAATAATTATACGTACATTTTGTACTTTTTCGAAGATAAGCACGAGAACGGTTTGTCCAATACATATGAATTTGGTCTTATTTAATGCAGGATTAAATGCCCTTCAACCGTCATGGAGACCAGTTTTCGATAGGGTAAGTCCTTTACGAGATATAACCGTAAAACCGAAAAAACGCCCCTTTCGGGGTCCCCCACCACTTAAGCACAACTCCGTCGAAGTCGAAATTTAGGATAGTCTTAATGGGTAACAAATTAAGCCATTAAAACAATAAAATCTTTTGTAGGAATTATTTCCGATTTCAAATGTAATTCTACTGGCCTATTAGGCAGTTCGATTTTTAAGTTATTTATTTAATCAATATTGATTTCTATTATTTTCATTAAAACGTCATTAGCAGGTTAGTAACTAATAACAATGTCAGTTACCAAGTGGTTGGTAACTTCATTCAATGATTAAACTTTTTATTTTTTTATATTTCTCAAAATAAAAATTATTTTCAAAATGTCCCTAGTATATTCCTAGTTATATGAGTCTTAATTTACATACTATTCTCGTATTGAAAGCGGTTAATAACTTCATAAAATAACATCAAAGACTTGAAAGATCACCTACCGAAAATTCTAAATTTCCAAAGCTTGGTACATGCAAAGCGGCACCCAAAGGCACAAGAATTGTATGTCATCTTGATTGCCGTGTATGGTGCAATAGCTCATGTGAGTACCAGCCCTTCAGTTCTATTCAGTTTAAAAAAAATCCACTTTAAGTGTTTTTTTCCATACAAAAAAAAAATATTTTTTTTCTCACACATGGAGCTACTCATACCCTTCATACTATATTAGTAAAACAAAGGGAGGTATACTAAACACAATACATATTTTTATTTATTAATTTCTGACATTAAGTTTCTATGGTATGGGACCTTCATTTTCAGACCACTGTGCGACCGTTCGCTTTTTGCCTAAACTTTAGGCAACTCACGCGAACGCGCCTTATTGTCGATTTTCCATGGTTCACACTCGAATACTCTCTTCCCAAAACACAAAGACGTAAATGCCAGTTTCAATTACGGCTGAACTTAATTTTTTTTTAATTAGCATGATTTGCAAGAAGTAAGTTCCAAGACTTGAAGCTTTTTGTTGTAGCTATGTTGCGGAGAAAAACTCTGGAGCCGGTTTGGTAAAGTTGTATTTGTACTACACGCAGTAGATGTTGCTTTTACATTGGTTCGAGAGAGAATGGTACAATGGTCGCACTCGTGCACAGCACGGACGGACGCGCGTAGCGCCATCTATGATTCTTTGTTTAAATCATTTTGTAAACTGTTAATTGTATTGTTAGTTCTTATAAAGCAAGATGAATTATAGATGGCGCTTTACAAACATTTGATTTATACTAATATAGGTAGATGGCGCTAAAATGGGTTCGGAACATGCTCCCCCCTTGAAATAGTTAAATAATTAAATTTTAAGTATTTAAATTGTTGTATTTAAAGTGTATTAATTGAGTGTACCTACTAAGTTAAGTGTTTACATTATTAGGTTTAATTGCTACAATAAATTGAAATCTAAATTACTTGTGTATTGTTAATTTGTTTGAAATAAGTTACCTACCTATCTATGTACCTACTCTGGTATTTCAATGAAACCCACACAACTTAAGCATTTATTGAAGTTTCACAAATAAATATTGGCATTAATGATAATGTACTAACTAATGCAATACAGTTAAGTACTATCTAATAATATGAAATTATACTGTATGAGTTTAAGATACATTTGCTTGAAACAAGTATAACACAATATGAAATATGAGTCTAAGTTAGATTTGGTTACAGGCAAAATGGTTATAATATAATAGTATGATACTCTAGATATTTTAAGTTATTTTCAATGATAAATAAGATACAAGAAAGGTTAATACATAATGTTATTTAAGTAAGTTAATTATTATCTAATATTGGTAGAGGACAAATCCTCGGGAAGGACAGCTTGATGTTGGAGCCCTGGGATGTCCTCAGTGTGGCAACGCGAGTCACGCCGTCGCCCCCGGGGTGTGTCTCGATGATCCTTGCCAGTCTCCACTGGCATGGTGGAGTGTGCTTGTCCTTGATGAGAACTACGGAGCCCGCTGCCAGCGTGGGTCCCTTGGAGCTCTGCCACTTGCCTCGTTGTTGGAGTAGCCCCACGTAGTCTCTTGAGAAGCCCTTCCAGAAAGATTGGTAGATCTGTTGGAGTTGTTGAAAGTATTTAAGTCGGTTGGTTGGGACTTCGTCGTATTGGTAATCCGGCAGTGCCACTGGAGTTCTTCCTATTAGGAAGTGAGCTGGTGTAAGGACTTGGAATATTTCGGAATCGGAAAAAGGAATGGGACATAAAGGTCTGCTGTTAAGGATGCCCTCTATCTGAATTAAAATTGTTGAGAAACCTTCATAGGTAAGTAGACTTTGTTTTAGGACACGCTTAAGATGATATTTACAACTTTTGACAGCGCCCTCTGCCAAACCATTCATGTGAGGTGAGTAACTAGGTACAAACTTCCATTCGATACCTTGCTCGGTGCACGAAGTTGTCAATTCGTTAGAGTTCGTGTTAAGAAAATCGTATAGCTCCCTTAACTCCCTGTCAGCACCCCGAAAGGTGGTGCCGTTGTCGCTCACCACCACTCGTGGCTTCCCGCGTCTAGCTATGAACCTTCTGAACGCTGACAGGAAGCTGTGAGTTTCTAGACCTGTAACAAGTTCAATATGTACGGCCTTCGTTGAAGAACATATAAAAATGGCAATATAGGACTTGTAAGTTTTGCAACCACGCCCCTGCCTGTCTTTGAGTAGAAATGGACCTGCATAGTCTAGTGCCACAGTGTAAAATGGCGGCGCCGGTTGCACTCTGTGACCTGGTAGGTCGCCCATAATAGGCGTCGGTGTATGTGGCTTGGCTCTGAAGCAAGGTACGCATTCTCTAAAAATGTTATTGGCTAAAAGCTTACCCTTGATAGGCCAGTACTGCTCCTTCATGCTAGACAGCAGCAGCTGGGGTCCTGCATGCATGAGGCGGACGTGCTCGTTCCTCATAATTAGTTTGGTTAATGTGTGATTGCTGTGTAGTATGATGGGGTGTTTTTTGTCAAATTCGTAGTGTGATTGACTGAGACGTCCTCCCACCCTTATAAGATCATTATCCATAAATGGTTTAAGACTCAAAAGTTTTGAGGTTTTAGGTAATTGTGAGTTATTTTTAAGAAGTTTGTATTCGTTAGGAAATGATTCTATTTGTGTAAATATTATTAGTTTATTGGCAGCTTGCCTTTGCTCTTGGCATGAAATTGGCCCTGTAATTTTGTGGGTTTTATTTTTGCAGTTGTGTAAAAACCTTAGTACGAGTGCAAATATACGAAATAGTTTCGTGTCACTGGACCACCTTGAAATTAAATTGTTTATGAATGTGTTATCGTTAGCCCTATTTTGTGTTGTGTTGCATAATGTTTTGCATGGGGAATGTTTTGCCTTTAGCTCAATTAATTCTTGGGTTTGCTGTTTATTTTGAGGCCACTCACCTTGTGGTTTACTCAAAAATGTTGGACCTTCAAACCAAAACTTAGAGGTAGTTGTGCAGTTAACTAATTTGTCAGGTAAAACCCCCCTTGAAAGCAAATCTGCTGGGTTTTCATTACTAGGAACCCAGCGCCATTTGGACTTGTCTGTTAGAGCTTGAATCTTGGTAACTCTGTTGGCTACAAATGTATTTAGCTTGTGAGGTTCTGTCTTTATCCACGCTAACGTGATAGTCGAGTCGGACCAGTATTGAATGTCGTTTATAGGGACTTTGAGTGATGACTGCAAATCCTTCATATTGACTGCCAACAATAACGCCGCACTCAATTCGAGGCGGGGTATAGTTTGAGTTTTTAGTGGTGCTACTCGTGTTTTTGAAAATAATAATCGAACTAGAGTTTGGCCTTGTGCATTGGTTGTAAGCACATAAATGGCCGCCCCGTAAGCTTGTGTGGAGCTGTCTGCAAACCCATGTAATTGGAAAGTTATATAATTGCTTATTGTAACTACTCTGGGAATCTGTAATAATCTTAGGTATTGAAGTCCATTGTAAAATGTTAACCAATCTTTTAAAAGAGTTTGTGAAATAGGTTGGTCCCAATCCGACCCGTCCACCCATAGTCGTTGAATGAAGCATTTGGCAAGAATTAGGCATGGGCCTAATAGACCCAAAGGGTCGAAGATACTTGAAACTCGAGATAAAATAACTCGTTTTGTTACATTGTTTGGTATAGGTTGCAAATTAATTGAATAATTCAAATTGTCGTTTTGGTTTGACCATTGAAGTCCTAATATTTTGTGCAAGCTATCCCCTGGTTGTCCGAGTTGGACGCTTTGTGATGTTGTACTTTCTGTTTGTGTAGGTAGTGCTTGTTGAATTTGTGATGAATTAGTTTTCCACTTACGTAGATGAAAGTTGGCTGTGCGCAGGACTCTGTCTACCTCCAGGGCGACCTGCGTGATTCTGTGCTCATCGTCACCTGAGAGAAGTAGGTCATCAGCGTAGAACTGCTCCTCGATCGCTGCGGCCGCTGCGGCTGCTACCGGCAACTCGGCTGAAGACCGTGCTGCATCTGGAAGTTGTTGCAAAGCAGTGCGAGTTTCTTGTGCCAAATGCAGTAAGCAGCGTGTTGCAATGTGCGGCGCAGGTTTCAGCCCAAAGCTGAGTGTTGTTAATTTGAAAGTTTGAAGCTCATGGTGAGGCTCCTCCCTCCACAGAATGCATTGCAGAGGTTGTTGATCAGCATTTATGTGTATGCAACAAAACATTTTACGTATGTCGGCGTTAATTACATATTTGTGCAATCGAAAACGTAATAAAATGTGATTTAGTGTATCCTGTTTGATTGTGCCCTTGTGCAAAATATCATTCAGAGAATACCCGGACGAAGTTGGACAAGAAGCATCGAAAACTACTCTCAGGGGTGTGGTAGACTTCTCTAGGTTGACAACAGCATGATGTGGTAAGAAATTAAGCGGGACGTCAGAGGAAGTACATTTCTCCATGCGCCCTGTTTGTTCAAATTCTCTCATAAATTGAATATACATTTGCTTAAACTCATCGTTTTTTGAAAATTTTCGTTCTAATGAATGGAATCGTTGTTGGGCAATGTGCTTAGATTGACCCAAATTACTAATAGGAAATTTGAATGGTAATTGTATTACAAAGTTGCCCTCAGCATTGCGAGTGTGTGTCATGAACACCTTCTCACATACTTTGTCATCATAGGACACTTGATCATTATGGGGAGTGAATGGATTGTCACCACATTCCTCCATTTCCCAGAAATGTTTTAATTGAGTTTTTAATGATAAATTGCATCGTACCTGTATGGGACTTGCTAAAGACCCTGATACTATCCAGCCCAGCTTTGTCTTTTGTAATATAGGACAGCCCTCTCCCAGACTATGCCTTCCAAAGCACAATAAGTTGTAAAATAGCTCGGCGCCAATGAGTAGGTCAACCTCACCCGCTGAAGAGAAGTTCTCGTCTGCCAATTTGATGTGAGCTGGAATGTTCAAGAGTTGAGTTATTTTTGGTGAATTATAATTTGGTAGATTACAAATTTGTGGCACAATTAAACAAGTCAGCTTTGTTTGAAATTGTCTATCATTTGACTCAATATTGAGGTTACAATATTCTTTTATTTTGGTTGAAGTATCATTGAAACCTATCACTTCCATATTGACATTTCGTTTGGCTAATTTCAACAATTGAAAGGCCTTTTCTGAAATAAAATTGGATTGTGAGCCACTATCTAGTAAGACTCTCAAGTTGTGGGTTTGATGTCGCGAGTCGTATGCTCGGACCATTGCTGTAGACAAAAATACAATTTTTTGATTTTTGGTTGGTGCGGTGACCGCATTATTATGTGTATGAGTATTGATTGAACCTGCATTTGCTGCTGGCTGTACATGTTCCCTCACTGGCACTTGGTTATTTGATTTATTGGTTTGGTGAGAGTGCAGCGAGGTACTTGAAATTGGTTGTGCAACATGCATTGTAGAAGGAGTCACGCTGTCAATATGTAACAGTGTGTTGTGCTTACCTTTACAGTACTTGCAGTGCGAAGAGCGACAATTGCTCACATTGTGATTGTTGCCTAGGCAGTTTGTACACAAATGAAATGACTTTACAGCCCTATAGCGTTCCCTTGCATTCAGAGCCAAGAAATTGTTACATTGGTTAAGATAGTGCCTACCTTTACACTGCGGACACGAAGGATTTACAATTGGCTTTGAGGATGTGGTTACCAAACTTTTCCGTGCCTCTGGGCCCCCAGGTTTAGTGACATTCAAGTTGTCGAGAATGTCAGCTCGCCTCCGTATAAAGTTTTTGAAGTCCTGCAACGAAGGTAGTACATTTGAGCTTTGGTTTTCCTCCCATGATCGTTGCAGCGAGGAAGGTAATTTGTTCGACATGAAATAAATGATAATTAAGTCCCAATCATCAATGGGAATGTTAAGTGTGTGAAGTGATCGCAGATGTTTGTTTATATTATCAATTAATGCTCTAAGTGACTTGGCATTTTCAGATGAAATAGATGGCCCTATAGCGTTCCCTTGCATTCAGAGCCAAGAAATTGTTACATTGGTTAAGATAGTGCCTACCTTTACACTGCGGACACGAAGGATTTACAATTGGCTTTGAGGATGTGGTTACCAAACTTTTCCGTGCCTCTGGGCCCCCAGGTTTAGTGACATTCAAGTTGTCGAGAATGTCAGCTCGCCTCCGTATAAAGTTTTTGAAGTCCTGCAACGAAGGTAGTACATTTGAGCTTTGGTTTTCCTCCCATGATCGTTGCAGCGAGGAAGGTAATTTGTTCGACATGAAATAAATGATAATTAAGTCCCAATCATCAATGGGAATGTTAAGTGTGTGAAGTGATCGCAGATGTTTGTTTATATTATCAATTAATGCTCTAAGTGACTTGGCATTTTCAGATGAAATAGATGGTATTTCAAAGAGAGATCGAAGGTGATTTGAAACTAGTAAGCGAGGGTTGTTGTAGCGTTCACACAACAGCCTCCACGCCATTTGGTAACCATCAGATGTGTATTCTATCGAATTGACAACCTCGAGAGCTCCGTCCTTCAGACAACTGCGAAGATATTTAAACTTTTGTATTGATTTTAATGAACTCTGATTTATTAAGGCATCGAATGTCTCCCTAAATTCAAGCCATTCCCTAAAGTCACCGCTAAAACTGGGTAATGCAATTTCTGGAAATTTAATGGAGTCAATACATTCACTACTATGAGATGGTTTGGCTTCAGGTTCATCATTGTCGTTTCTAAAGGCCATAACCAGGCCTTTGGCCTTGGCTAGGCTCTCAAAGTAAAGCTCCTCGAACTTTTCACGTTCGAGGAGTTGAGAACTGGTGTCCTCGGACAGGCACTCTAATTGCATCTGAATTGTGTCAAATTTCTCATAAGTTGATGTAACATTTTCTATGCGAAACTCAAGGTTTAAAATATCATCTGGAGATAATGGAGTTGCTAAATTATCCATGAAATTGGTGAATTGGGTAAGTTTACCCTTAAATGCTGCTCTACTGCGTGAAAGTTGAACAATGTCGTTGGGAAAAGTTTTGTCTTGTGACGTCATTTTGAAAAATTGTGTAAAATTTGGTTAGAAATTGTAAGTAAGTAAGATAGAGGGTTTGTTGTGAAATAATAAAAGGAACCAGCTCACTCTCCTTTAGAAGTTCGAAGTCGTCTTGGCGTGGCCTTGGTTGCACGTGGTTGCACGTAGAGGTTATGCACACTTTATCTTCCGGCGGCGTCGAAAAATTGATGAAAATATCCAAGCGTCGCCCCCGGGCGTCGCACGATGGAACCAGCTCACTCTCCTTCAGAAGCTCGAAGTCGTGTTGGCGTGGTCTTGGTTGCACGTGGTGCACGTGCACGTTTTTCTTCCGGCGGCGCAATCGGCGGACGGCGGCGTCGAAAATTGCATGAAATATCCACGCATCGCCGTCGGGCGTCGCACGCAGGCACCACGTAGAGCACAGGGGTCACCAAAATTTGTTGCGGAGAAAAACTCTGGAGCCGGTTTTTGTAAAGTTGTATTTGTACTACACGCAGTAGATGTTGCTTTTACATTGGTTCGAGAGAGAATGGTACAATGGTCGCACTCGTGCACAGCACGGACGGACGCGCGTAGCGCCATCTATGATTCCTTGTTTAAATCATTTCGTAAACTGTTAATTGTATTGTTAGTTCTTATAAAGCAAGATGAATTATAGATGGCGCTTTACAAACATTTGTTTTATACTAATATAGGTAGATGGCGCTAAAATGGGTTCGGAACAGACCTCACTTTGGGCTCACCTCTGGGATCAATTAGACCAAATTTTATGGTTACCTATAAAACCAAATAATGATCACACGTGTCCTCTTTAACAGATGGATAGCGATTAATCACAACTTAACAGTTTTATAGCCATAAAAGTTAGCTCAAGCGTAACTACCTATTTTTTGAAGAAGTGACTCTGGATCCTTCTAAAAACACATTTTTGGGATAAAAACCTTTCCTTTAATGAAATGAAGGTTAGAACTAGGCTTTCAAATGCAACCAATGTTGGCGGGAAGTGGGGATGCATACGTTTGAGAAGTGCTTGTTGCGGGAGGTGCGATTTATTTGATGCCGAGTGTATGTTAAGTAATCTATACCTTACACTTTCAATTTTAAACCCAGAAAAGTAAAACTATAGATCTAGCGCTTAACTCAGGATTCCGTGGAGGGTAGTTGAACGGGAAGCACGGTCGATCTGTTTTAATGGTTTCAATTTATTATTTAATGGGCTTTAGTGTACAAATTTGGTGTTATTTTGTGTTCTAAAGTGCAGTGAAGTGATAAATTATAAAAAAAACATTGAAATACTTCGAATTTGAGCGCGCATCGAGTGTCGAGTGGGTTGTCGTATGAACAACCTGCTTTGGACCCGGTGGGCGTCTTGAAACCTGCTTACGGGCATCTTAACTCCACGGAATCCATGAAAAATCAATAGAACTGAAACACTCACGTTCTATTGATAACTATGTCAATTTTCACTCGACATTGGCAGAAATAAACCTTCCAGAGAGGTTTGGTTGCCATTAAAAAAAAATCTGAACGCGACCTGAAGTCTCGCTGACGTTTAAAAGCACAAAAACACCCTCCCCTGCCGCCCCCATACCTCAGGTACTGACACAGTTATACCATGTACTAGATCTATACCTACCTTATATTATTTCAAGCCGCGGCCTCATCTATGATGAATTTTGGTCAGTCTTCACTAATATTATAAAGAGGTTTGATGACTGATTGATTTGTTTGTTTGAATTAAATAATAATCATCAACAGCCCTTTACAGTCCACTGCTGGACTGTGAGCCTCCTCCACTATAGTGGAGGGTTTTGCCATAATCTCCACGCTAGGCAGGCGGGTTGGAGATCGCAGTTTAAAAGATTGATGTTTTTCAGAGAACGCTGCTGCCCATTCTCTGTTTGATGTGTAGTCCCTAAGTCGCCTCTTACGACACCCGCGGGAAGAGTAGGGGTTGGTGACAAATGTATTCTACTCTGCCGTCACCACACGGCTTATATAAAATATTTAATAATAATAATATAATAATAATAAAGTTATTTATTCGCTCCAAAATTACAGTAAGTCTTAACCTATTTAGAGATTACAATTCAAGTGAACTATTGGGTTAGGTTACGGTTACGGTTAATAGGCTCCAAAACTACTGGACTGATTTGAAAATTCTTTCACCATTAGAATCCTCTAGATGAACATAGGCGTATTTTTTTGCGATATGAAATCTGCCGGTAGAGCTAACGGGACTATTCCCACCTCTCGTTCCCACCCCCGCAACTCCTGTTTAGCCAGGATCTACAGCTTGACCGCCAATAAAAACCCAACCAGTGAAGGTCAAGTTTGACCCGGGGCAAGTTAAACTGTCATTGGACCCGCTCTTAATCAGAAGATCGCCGATTAATTAAAAGAACTTAAGAGGAGTTCGAAGTTAGCCGGGCTAGCTAGTCTTTTTATATTGTGTGGGTCTTCCCATCCGAAACGTGGACGCTTACTATGGGCCTCATAAGAAGGCTCAAGGTCACCCAAAGGGCGATGGAGCGGGCCATGCTTGGAGTTTCCCTGCGTGATCGAATCAGAAATGAGGAGATCCGCAGGAGAACCAAAGTGACCGACATAGCTCGCAGAATTGCTAAAACCAAGTGGCAGTGGGCGGGGCACATAGCTCGTAGAGACGATGGCCGTTGGGGCAGAAAAGTTCTCGAGTGGCGACCACGGGCTGGAAGACGGAGCGTGGGCAGGCCTCCTACTAGGTGGACCGACGATCTCGTAAAGGTCGCGGGAAGAGCCTGGATGCGGGCAGCGCAGGACCGTGCATTGTGGAAAGCCTTGGAGGAGGCCTTTGTCCAGCAGTGGACGTCATTTGGCTGAAACGAACGAACGAACGTGGGTCTTCCCCTAAAATATTTTATTTCTTACCATAAGTACCAAGCCTATAATTAGGATGAGTTTCCTTACTGGGGAAATGATGGATCCCCGTACAAAGTTTCACCCACTTTCGTTTTATTTTCGCGATAAAAATAGCCCATGTCCTTTTTCAGGGCAATCTATTTCTATATTATCATCAATCAAAATTTTTGCTATGGTTTAGGAGTGAAATGACCGGTAAGAAAGAAATATTAATCTTTATGTACCCCCCAAAACAGGCACTTTAATAAAGTACCAAAAAAGTTACTCGGTGGACCGACGATTTAGTGAACGCGGGCCTCACCTGGATGCGGGCAACGCAGGACCGGTCGTTGTATAAATCCTTAAGGCCTTTGTCCAGCAGTGGTCGGCATTAAGTTGAAACGAACGAAATTTAGGAATCAAATTCGTTCAATTTAGGCGGTCTTATCGCATGGAAGCGATCTCTTCCAAACAACCCAAGTAGAGAACGATTTATTTAATTAATAAAGGAAGTTATTATAGCTACTTCATCATCATTTCAGCCACAGGACGTCTACAGCTGAACATAGGCCTGCCCAGTGATTTCCAGAATGGCCGGTTGGTAGCAGAGCATCCAGCGCCTACCTGCTTACATTGAGTCCACCATGTGGACGTTAGTATACAAAATTAGCGAAAAGTCAATACAAGTGTGAAAAATTCCCAAACATTTTATCACCCCTACAATAATTAACAATTCACGCCGTTATTTATACCATCGTCATGAATGCGACCTCGCCAATTATCCTGACTTTAATGCAGTATAAATTAATATTAACAGCATCAATTGGAATGTCATTTACGGGAGCGCTCGCAATTAATAAACCATAGACTGGAAATGCATAGACGGATCGACGTTTCAGTGATGGAGTGTTTTTTTGTTTGTGAACGTGCATGAGGGTAGGTAAATGTCTGTATCATCTATCATTCATTAAAACATTGGGGGCGTTTGTCCGAAAATAGAATTGTTAGCGCAACTACAATGAACTGTCCCACCCGTAACATTGAAAGACCGGATCGCTGGTTCCGATTTTTGCCACGTTGGAAACTAAATAGTTGAACGATGGTGGCGCCCGATGTCAATGTGTTTGGTGGGACAGTTCAGTGTAGTTCATCTTTAAGTGCTGTCACTGCAAAAAAATGTATGGAAAACGTCACTATTAAAGTTAGCAAACGTGTCCTATCCGAAAGCATGCTAAAGTTTTCGGCGGTTGCCATGACAAGCGCCATTTTGCTTACGATTTCTAACCAAATCTATTTTCGGCCAAATGCCCCCATTATAGTAATTTTAAATCATTACGAAAGAATACTTGACTGTATGGCATAATGCCTTTGCCTTTTCCTAAAAAGAAACAATCGAAGCAAACAAATAAATATCAAAGAAAGAGGGTAGACTGATTTTTCTGCCGATAAATCTCCCACCCGCGTTTACTTCAGTTCACCCGCCCGCGGTCGTGGCGCAAGCAACTGCGTCTAAATATCGGAGTGTTCTTAGAAATAGATAGATACCATTAATCATCAATTTAAAATAATATGTTGACTATGAAAGTGTAAAATAGTTATATTTCTTATTAATTTCTTTCCAATTTAGGTTTAAGTTGGCAGTGGTTCGGTTATATCTATGGTAGAAACGATGCAAAGTGCAGTGCGGTAAATGTAGTGTATGATGTCCCCTGCTCGATGGACAGAAGATCACCGAAAGGTAATTTATTATTATTATTTTGTTGAAATATATACCCTATTAATAAGGCCGAAATTAATTTTACAACGACCGTGAGTCCCATTTGGAAATTGAACCTAGAATCTCAGAAACTACAAGTGCTAGGAGTTTTAAATTTAATAGGTGCTCACTAGGACGGGATTTTGCAAAGTTCAACCCTGCGTGAATTCTTAGCCTTAGGGGGCAAAACGGGAACCGTGTACGAAGTCGCGGGCGGCCGCTAGTGCTTATATAAATTTGTTGGCAACAATAAAATTTTACCAATACCAGGTAGGTAAATGTTTAAGCTATCAATATTAAATACCAGTGAGGCGTCAAGCGTTATGAATTTCATAATTAGTTGATGGATTAGTGTGACCAGCAAATGTATTAATTTGCAAATTGGTTGTTAAAATAGAACAACCATTAAACAAACATTTCAATCTATGAATTATTTGTTTGAATC